ACACACACACACACACACAGATTTATTCACCATGGAAACTGATCTGTCCTAACAATCCAGTTGTCTTAACCTACCATACACTTTCATGTAGAGTTCACCTGACTGCCCACTGACTTCATGTGCATTTCTCCATGTTTTTCTGGAAGTTGTTCTGCCGACAGCAAATCTTTGTCACGATGCTGCCGTCATGACTTGATGGTTTTGTTATGTTATGGACCAAACCAATGCAAACACAGGGCAAACTGGGGGGTTCAGATAAACCAGTTTCTCATTAGTGAAATACTTTTAAATCCTGTATGAAAATACTGATGGGAAAATGACTACCCTTTAATAAACACTGGTTGGCTCAATGGACAATTTTCCTTTACAGAAAAGTTGAGGGATGAGTGCTGCACACTTGGATCAATGATGCCACTGCACTACAAAAAACCTGGTAGACAGAAAAGCCTGTAATGCAGAACATGAAAGTTGTATGAAACATATTTGGCCCCTCCCCACAAAAAGGGATTTTTTGGGGGGCAGGGCAACAACTGAACCAGGAAACATAAGAAGACAATGGTGTCGTTACAGTGATGCAAGCATACAGCTGATTTTCTTTTTTATTTAATTGACAAATGACTGAAGATTTGACTGGTAATTGTATACATTCAGTTTGTATATGGAAATGCAGTTCAGGCTTTCAATCCATTCCAATAAGTGGCCGAGGTGGTTGCCAAGAAGGCTGCTGAGTGGTGAAACTTGTATATTAGGACTTTGACTGGGTGTCGTGTTAATTCTTTACTGAGAAACCTAAGGATTATTCTTGCATTTACCCATGAAAAAGCCAAATTTGTGCAAATCCTCAACCGGTTTTCACAATAGGCTGGTTTGAGCACTGAGGAATTAGTAATAATTTTCTGACGTGAAATACTGAGTGAGGAGGTAATAGGAAGACGAAAAACAATTTGATCACATTTGAGCGAATCACAAGCAATCATTGGTACAATGGAAAAAAGAAAAGTATTTTCAATGTCATCCCGAAAGCAACACATGAAAAGTGGTTGAATACTGCTGATGGTCGTATAAATACAGAGCTCTGTAACTTCTAGCTTTCCAATGAGTCATTGCTTTGAGTTGCCCCTTGCTGCTGCACATGCACATGAAGACGCATACCGCAAAGACACTGAAAACCCTAAGATCAGCTGCAGCACACATTAAAGGGATTCACATCCAGGAAATATCTGGTGGTTGACAAACCAGACTCATTCAACAGCCCAGGAAAATGTATAGACAAAATCCATTTGAAACCATAATTGTTAGCTTTCCAACATAATGAATGTGCTCTCTTTTTTAGGTTTTGACAATGAAGTCTGTATAAATGTACAAATCAAATAAAGATCAGTTAAGTTAGATAATTTTTTGTCGTGCACAATAATACATTTTCTCGACCAAAAAGGGTCAAGCAACCACACTTGTAGGGCACCAAGGTGGTGTTGCTTTGACAAAAATACTAATAAGCGAATATCACTTTTTTATGAATTTGCATCATAGTGAAGAAATGTGGTTGAGGCTGTAGTCAGGGGAGTATTTTTAGAATTTGGAGTGAAGTGTGCATCTTATTTAGTAAATAAGACTTATTAAACTTACTCACGGACTAAAGCGCATTTCATCTGACAAAATCAACTGTTGCTGTAAGTCATAAACCTTCCACTGTGTGTTACTGTAGCAACAGTCACTCAGAGGGGCGGGACTTAGTGTGCTAAAACAAACGCACAAGAGTGGCTGACTGGCGCCAGGCCAGATATTTCCTGGGTAAACCATAAAAGTTATATTCACATTTCAAATGCAACATCGATCACACTTATGTGTTGCCTATGTTTTGTTTTGTTTAGAGGCCGCTGTACAGTATGCAAGTAAGAATCTGGGATCTCTAAAGTAATAACATTGTGTGCGCAAATTGTGCTGACACAGCATTTTTACATCCCAACTGTCCCTAATTTCCATACTCACATAACTGGTTCAACCATCCACATGCCATGACATTTCAGACGAATCACAAGCAAAACATCATGTAACTGTGCATCTAATTACATTTAAATGCTGCATCGCCTGCAGTTGTTTTTCTGGCACTTGTTGCAATTTAAGTTTGCATAACTCTGCTGCCTGTGGTAACATATGGAAGACTTTACGACAGAGGCCTTGTTTTTTTTCCAGACAATATCCCTCTTTGTGTCGCAAACACCCTCAAGTACTATAAATGGAACACTCACCTGAGTTGCACTGCTTTTGGTCCACGGCAACAAACATTCAGAGACAAAGTGGGGGAGGGTTGAGGGGATAAGCTCAGGAAAAGGGTTTGGAACAGGAGAAGAGAAAGACTCCTCTTCCTCTTTATTGCTCCTGAAGGACAAAAAAAACACAAGACACAGTGAGGGACAGAAACTGATGCTGCATAAAACAAGACGAGCATTGTTCGAACTTCTACGTGAGATCCCACACTTTTTAAAAGCACCAGGTATGTCACCCTGACTTTGCCTGAATCAGTCTCAAATGTGACATTGCAATCACGCATTAGTGGGAACAACTTATTGCTGGATGTTCCGCTGCTTGTGTCCCATGGACAGGAATGAGGATGAGGAGTGTAAATGGAGCAGGTGATAAACAAACTGACAGATCTGACAGAAACACAAGGCTGCCACTGTTCGTTCGGACCCTCCTGTGCTTTCAACAGACGACACACCCCACGCAGTCACCAACAGACTCTTGATAAGATGGAAGATAAAGCACATGTGAACCACCCCCCATATCACCACTATTAAATACAGCAGCTGCAAACAGACACAGACAGCGCTTGAGCAGCTGGCTGGTGGGAAGTGAAATCTACTACAATCCTGAAATCTAATAATCAATACATAAAGGAATTTTTTAAAACTTAATAATAACCTTTTACAACCACGATGCATCATTCCACCCTGTGAGTTGTAGTAATTCATAGTTTGTTCTTTACTTCTTTAGCATGTCATTGCTGCTGCTCAGGGGGTTAGAGCGGTCATCCTCTAACAGGAAGGCTGGTGATTCGATTCCAGTCTCCCCCATTCTGCATGCTGAAGTGTCTTTGAGCAAGATACTGAACCACCAATATCCCCCTTCTCATAGAGAAAGTGCTGCACACAGATGCACTGTAAGAATGGGTGAATGTACAACTGTAAAGAGCTTTGAGTGGTCAGGACAAGAAAAGTGCTATATACATACAGACCATGTATCATTTAAATCAGAAACACATAATAAACAAGAAAATATTCTATTTCAGCACACGTGCATATGAGTCTGGCCTCAGTCTCTGAAAGGTGCTGTTCTCTTTACTGCTCTGTACAAACAGCAGTTACTGAGTTACTGATTATCTCCCACAAACTAACAGGTACTTGATTCGATTCCAGCTCTCTAACTGCACTGTTGAAATAATACATTACACTTGCAATGACAGCTGCGTTCTGGTCCAGCCAATTATGTTTACAGGTACAAAGTCTACACCACAGCTTTTAAATAGACCTCTGTGTCTCACCGCTGCTAATACAAAGAGTGCACTATTCTTCTGCAGAGCAGTGTAGAGGAGGAAATGAATTATATAATTTTTTAATCTTATAAAACAGACTGGCTTCATTCATGGCAAGTTTTTCAAAAAAAAAGAGCCGTACCTGTTCCCCTTGCACAGCGTAATCCCGGTCTTCTGGGCATTTGGTGTCAGCAAAGGAGCTTGCAGAGGGATGAGGGTTGGGCTGGGGAAACCACTCACATTACTCCTGCCACTCTGAAAAATCTCTGCTTTCTCTCCGAGACCTCTGGAAGTGTGTATTTCGTCCAGCGTGTTATTCATATCACTCATGTGGGTTCAAGCTAAATCCAAGGCATCATCTGAGGCAGAGAGAAGAGGCAGGCTGTTGGACTGTGAGTAGAGAGCACAGTTAGAGCAAGCGGGCTGGCGGGGCTCCTCTGCTCACAGCTCAGCAGAGTGTACACACACACACACACGCGTGCACGAGCGCACACTCAGACACACATAAGGTTTCTCTGGCTCATCTGCTGCCCATGAGGGTGGCCCAGTGGGGCAAACCGATCCCTCCTTCCCAAACATGATCCACCACAATAAAGATATTTTTAACACACTGACTCCCACAACAGTCATCCTTGCTCTGACCCAGTAGTGTATTAATAATCATCTAATTTGCTCAGGCTTATTTAGTCTTTTATATTGTTGTTGCTTTAATCTTTTTTATTTATACTTGCCTTTGCAACCTGGAGGGCAGGGACTGCACACACAAACTGCACACAACACCCAAGGGGGAGTCTCTAGCACAGTACTGAGCGCGGGAGGTCTGCCAGTACCATAAACCAACTGTTCTTTTGTCATGGACTTCGCACAGGGATCCAAATTCCACTTTAAACTTAGTAAACTGTACAGGGCTTGAGTTGTGCAGACAGACTAGCCAGCCCAGCAAATTGGTTGTGTTGTGGGCTGTGTCATTCAGTGACAGGCTCCATGTGGGGGGATGGTTGGGGATGATAACATCTCTCCAAGAGGTAATGTGTAACAGAGTCTGACAGGCTACTGGAGATACAGACTAACAGGGAGCATAGGCTTGAAGCAATAACCTACTACATTAACAGAAGATAATGGAATTACTGTGGTAAGATGTGAGAGGCTGGGGGGGACCTGAAAACCCAGTTGTTTTAAACGTAATAAAGGTGCATGGAACAGGCAAATCTCTTGCTCAGAGATGGATGTTGATCTGTACAACCTGCGTCTTTCTGTCTCCATTAATCCACACTCCTTCACGTGTAATACACACTTTAAATCAATACCACAATTACAGGAGAAACAACAGGTCATCAGAGAAATCTGAGTTTCGCTGTGCCAGTGTTCCATTATGTTTACAAGGGAAAACCAGCCGTGTTAACATTAGTTTCTTGACTTTGGAGAGGAGCGAGCAGGAGGAGATCTGTGAAGACAAATGATTCAGCTGAGGTCCGACAGTGGACTGACACAAGGACAAGAAACGCCGGGTAGCATGAGAGGGCCAGAAATAACTCCCAGCCTGGAACACATTCTTTTGGTATCAGTCAATGCAAATGCTAATTACATTGGTGTAAGATGAAGGCCAAATCTATTTCAGGGAGTTATTAACAGTGTCTCACATTACTGTAAGGTACAGTTTTATTTATTTTATTACTGTGATGGATTGTAATGAATTAGCCACTATGAACCGCTCTCTTCTTTGCATTTTAACAACCTAACTAAAAGATGGCTTCACCTCCTGCTCCCTTCAGAATAAAGACGAAATCTAAATCTGTTTCCACCGTCCTGTTACGTTAAATATAAGATCTCAAAAAGAACCAGGCATAATTAAGGGACTGATATTTATGACAGACTGTTGGGCCAAGTGCCATTCTAGTAATTATGAGGTTGATCAATGTGTTATATTTAGCACGGGTTTCCTTTTTTGACATCAGCTCAAAGTGTACAAAACTAATTCTTGCTGTGAAAAATGTGTCTTTCATGCTTAAGAACATCAGAGGTTAAAGTACAGCTCATCTGCCATGTTCATGTGATGCACCTGGAGCTAACAACATTTGTTTACTGGTTCAGTTTATGTGATTGCACAGGATGAGGAAAAGCGGTTGGAAACTTTTCACACAGCAACAGCCCCTTTAGAAAATCTAAACTAACCTATTCATAATGTTGGACCGTAGGTATATCAGCTTGGTTATGGCCAAAAATTATATCAAGATAGAAATGTGGATTATGTTGAATTATCCTCATGATGTTTTCACTAGTTCATTGCATTTAAATTAAATGAATTGTAGTTTTCTTTACCCCAGAAAAGACCCTTTATATTTAAATATTTTACATTAACATCGAGGGGACCCTGTTTTTTACATTAGTCCAGACTGGACAAACTAAACACCTTTTGAGTTTTTATGACAACTGAAGCTACCACAGGTTCTTTTTCATGTTTGGAAGGGGAGGGTGAGGTGAGGCGTGTTCAGTCGCAACATGCAATTTAAACACTAGATATCACAACATTCTACACACTGTACCTTTAAGTTTAGAGTTTGCTCCCTGCTCCTGGGTGAGGGTTGTGGTTTTAAACTTCTGAATAAGCAGAGAATAAGTAAAACTCCATGAAAAGAAAAACATTTTTACAAATCTGAAGTAGATCTGTGATAATTATTAATACTGAGTTGTTGCGATTTGATACTTGACACTTTAGTGCCATGTTCATCATAGCTACATTAGAGATATGATGGAGTGACATTACCTCTAAGTTGTTTTTCTTATTCTAAAATGTGAACATTTTGTTTGTGTTTTATATATTAACAGTCAATGTCGAAGTCATCAGGCTTGACTTTAGATTTTGATGAAACATAGAACTGTCACAGGAGTTGAAATATCCTCCCCAGGTTGTGCAGGTCAATAAGACACGTTCCCAACCTTCACGTGTTTGTTTGTTTTTTATCTTTCTATCTCTGCAGACTGTTCAAACTGTTTCCTTACTGTCGAACTGTTGAGATGAGAGGGGCACATCGTGACTCGTGTACCAGACAACGACAAATTAACAAACACGATGTTAAAGCAGCCTAAAGACGCAAACACATACCAATACAGAAAGTATGAAGTGAATGCGTCACAGGCCCCTCCCTGTCCCCGCTGCACCAGCCGGAACCGACTCGTTAACACTGTTTAAAATAATAAATCAAAAAACACAACATGATGTTTCAGTACAGCTGTCTTTACCTTGAGCCTCTTCAAGCTTCGTCTCCTCCTCACACTCCTCATGTCGCAGCTCCGGAGGAAACGCTCTCACTGTGTCTGCACGTGCTGCAGGAGCGCTCCTCTCACCTGCCCTACGTCATCACGTCTCCTCTTCACCCACTTTTAACATGAACATTAACATGATGTCAAATATCAATGAAACTGTGTCAAGTCATTCATTGTGATTTCCAAGAGTAAGTCTGCGGAAAATGACAAGTAGATGTTGAATGTTAAACAATTA